TGCTTTTAAATGATAAATGATGTTAGTTAACTTGTATCTGCACTGTTTGAATGATTTAGTAATTATGGTCATCATCACTGGTTAGACTGGTTTAATATGTTTTATATTGTGCTTTATATGTACAATACTGAATAACTTATTATTTTCATTAGATAGTAACACAGCCGTATTACCATATGACTGAAGTGGATCCATTTATACAACTTAATATATCATTAGCTGCATACACATACTGGGCAACATCACAGACAGTACATGTAATCAGAAGCTCTCCTATGTCAGGTAAAGATTTAAGTATCTATGAATTCTGTGAATGTGATTCTGAACAACTTAGAAATATTAGATTTGGTTTGTTTGTACAGCTGTACTGTGCACACATAATGCTTGTGTTGATGGTAATTGTACTGCACTATGACAAACATATTTCATATGACCAGTACATTCTTTTATACATTGTATTTGATTGTTACAGTTCCAAGTATTCCTGAGAATTGTAGATACTTTACCACGGTGAATAAAGATATTTATAAAGAACATATTGATATCTTTGCTGATATCCGATGGGAGACACCTACTGTTATCAATGGTTTGCTGCTTGGTTATCATATCTATGTGTCATTACCAGTTAATGATACAATTATTTGGTACAACATGACGGTTGGCAGTGATGTTAATAGATACATCTTACCTAATCTAACTGAAAACAGTATTTACAATGTGCAGGTATGTTATAGTGCTGCTTGTTACTCTGTGTATGTTAATATAATGGGTATTATTATATGCCTTACTTTGTATGTGTTGTTATACTTATCAGTTATTACCTGTGCCTTTTCTGTATTATAGATTGATGCATTTACTGCCATTGGTAATGGTGAGTCTTCTCAGGTTATGATTATTGACACACAAGGTGAGTTAATATCAGGTTATTACAAAGTACTGCAAAGTAATGAATTAAAGTGAAAGTCAAGGCTAATACTCCTCGATGGAAGAGCTCGGCAAATGTAAGAACATGCAATTTACAGTTTTTTATAAATCACTTCTCATTCTCTAGATATTCAATTTTTCAACAATTTATGTAGACCGCCATCTTGATTCTTCAGCAAAGGATTGTGGGTAAAGTATGACATCATAGAGTCTGTTGTCAGAAATTGAGAAAATGATTTCATCTATAACTTCAAAAGTTGAACTTTAAATTGGCTGAAAGTTTAGAACAGGGTAACATACATGTACTGGTGCCAAACATGCTTATAAAATAGTTGTCATGGAAACAGAACTGAAAATATTTATTTTTATGTTTTTCAACCAAATGCTCAAATTTCCTTATATTGTATACAATTTACGGATGTGAGTAGGTTATATAGGTGATATATTACTTGTTGATCATAAAAAGTGGACAAAAAAGTGTCATTCTATATTTTACAACGAAATATCTTCACTTCATGTGTATTTGTAACATTCTAATTTACATTACTATAATCATATACAAGAGTTATATGCATAACGAAAATTTGAACTAATTCGCATCAGTAATTCCCATGTTATAGATGAAATCATTTTCTCAATTTCTTACAACAGACTCTGTGATGTCATACTTTACCAATTGATGATTCTTTGCTTGAGAATCAAGGTGGCTGACAACATAATACTGATGAAATGTTGAATATCTAGAGAATGAAAAGTGATATAAAAAAACTGTAAATTGCATTCTCCTACATTTGTGGAGCTTTTTCTTGGGGGGTCATTGTGTTTTTTGGCTTGACTTCCCCTTTATAGTCATTAGTTAGTGTTACTGCGCCCTCTATGTCTAATATTATAAGTGAATGATGACATCACATGTTCACATCATCAATGTTGTTTTATAGCATGCTGGGTATACAACAGCATCAAGGCAATACACCTATCATATCAGCTGACCTTGACATGTAAATGCAATCTCGTTATTTCCTGAACACTTACTTTGCTATGTTTAGCCCCGCTGTCGACTTTGTCGAGCGGAGCTTATCATATGAGTGATTGTCCGTCGTTGTCGTCCGTGTCAATGTTTTACTTTTTTGACTTCTTCTTGAAAACTACAAGCCTGAATGCTTTGATACTTGGTGTATATGTACCTTGGGTAGACCTCTCTTAGGTTTGTTCATTTCATGTTGATATCTTCAATTCTCTAATTTTGGTGAATATTTTTGTCATTTTTGGTAAAAAGTGATATTTTCGACTTCTTGTTAAAAACCGCAAGTGCAATTGCTTTGATATTACATATATAGGTACTACATGTGAACCTCTCTCAGATTTGTTCATTTCGTGATGATATCTTCAATTCTCTAATTTTGGTGAATATTTTTGTAATTTTTGGTAAAAAGTGATATTTTCGACTTCTTGTTAAAAACCAATAGTTCAATTGCTTTGATATTACATATTTAGATACTACATGTAGACCTTTCTCAGATTTGTTCATTTCGTGATGATATCTTCGATTCTATAATTTTGGTGAATATTTTTGTCATTTTTGGTAAAAAGTGATATTTTCGACTTCTTGTAAAAAACCAATAGTCTGATTGCTTTGATACTATACATATTGTTCATTTTCTAAGGATGTCTTCAGTTCTTTAATTGAAATGTGCATTGCTAACAGCGGAGCTATCTCAGCCGATAGGCTGCTTATTTATGATTACCCTATTATTACTCCCCATTAGATGAAGTCCAAAACGAGGACATTATGTTTTGAAGTTACACCATATTTTTAACATGCTGAATACGTTCTTTATTGTTTATAATTTACAAGTCAATAAAAACTAAGGGACTATGTTATCTAGTCACAGTGAGAAAAAATAAAAAGACACTGGTTTACAATATTAAGCTTGTCATGGTTTTCATATATACATTAGTCTTATTCAATTAGTTTATTCATTTTCAGTTGAAAAGCCAGCTCCTAAATTACTAGTTGTTGAAAATGATGGCATAATGGAACAAGATGTAGATAGTGGAAATACAAATATTATATCATCAACAGAAGAAGTATTATTTGTTGGATATATTTTCCATAGTTCTCAACTGTTATGGGTGGATGCAGACACAGTTTACCTTGATAGCAAACAGGTTTGTGAAAAATTCCGTAAACCATTTTATGAAACTACATTTTTTTAAATTTACATTAAAACATTTTAGCTTTGAGCATTTCAAACATTCTTGTTTTAGGTATGAGTGATGTACTATTCAAACACATCACATCTAAATACTGCCCTCTAGTGGTGTTTAATATGACTGATGTTTCTTATTTAATAGTTGGTGAGTGGATTATCTGTGCCACAAGGCTTTGCTGTAGATTGGATTGGACAAGCAATATACTGGACACAGAATGACAATACTGGGGGCAGCATTCATTATTATAATCTCAATAGTATTGAACAAATTAAAACAACAGAAATTGTAAAAACTGTTGTTGATGTGGGACAAATTGTTGTGGATCCATATCACAGGTAGTGTAATTTTAGTTTATTACGAGGATACTGCAAAGTATGCACGAAGACAGTACAACACTATCCTCGTAATATCCTTATTATACATCTTTTCCTCCCAAGGATACATTATGGGAATGCCGAAATCAAAAATTTTTAGGACAGTTTTAGTGAACTTGTTTGTTTGAGGTTTTTATTATTAGAAGATGCTTATAATATGCACCTAATCGTTCCATATTTGGAATATGCATTTCCTAATATGGTAGGATGCAAATACCCATAAATACCGCAAAATTATGGCACACAGTGACTTATGGCATTGCAGTGACAGATGTATAATAGCCATAACAATGACATGACATGATAATGATTTAAAGCAAGGAAGTCGTCACTTGCGAATGCGACAGGCGGCCATAGCATGTCAGTTTTACAAACAAACATCTACCTGTGAGCCAATGTTTTAATGTTAATTGTTATCGTTGTTTAGGGCTCAATTTTCAATATGTGTACAAATGACAACCTCCTACACTTTCATTTCAATTTCTACCACATTGTGTTACAAGCAATACATAAAAATATAAAAAAAATTAATCCATTTTCAGTAAATAAACACATGCAACAGTTTTCTTGACTGCCAGATCTTTTGTTTCTGGTGTCCGTGCTAGTTTCTCTGTTTGTCTGTGTGATTATAATCACCACATTTTGTCACTTCATGGACATTGAAATTGACATACCCCGGTACTAATATTTGCATGGAGTCCTTTGGTGGACATCTAACTGTACTGAACATATAAATCAGTAAAACAACAATAGTAAAAAAACAATTTTCAAGTGCTTGTTATACTTTTCTTGCTGTCAGCCATAATTCTATGTTTTCTTTGTATATAACTATGTAATTTATATGTACTGTTTTTATCATCCATACGTAATGGCAGCCATAACTTATGGTTATACATGTATGTCTTATTTATTACTGTAAAAGTATAATATTAAATAATCACTATATTACAGTACAATATTGTGGATAGAAGAGACAGAAATAAGTGTTCAACTCATGAAATCAGGTCTTCACGGAGAACGACCTGCTGTAGCTTCAAATGGACGAAGACACAGAGACTTATCAGAACATTGTAATTGCCAAGCTAATATAACTATAGGTCATGTGTTTACCATTGACCAATCAGATGCTAATAATCCATGGTTATATTGGTCAGATGGAAATGAGGGTCATTTGTGGAGGTCAGATACAGCCATCTGTCAATGTCAAAAACTGTTTGATGTAAATAGTCATCCTAAATCTGGTACGCCATTCATTCATTCATTTAAATTTAATTCCTTTAAATTGTTTCATTAAAAAGTCATTATGAATAACTTATAATTTGTTTCCAAGTTCTAATTAAGTGATTACTGTCCAACATATATATGATGACCTTCTCTGCCATATGCTATAATCTTCCCACCCTATGTAGTTATCTTTTTATCTTACCCTGTCATCTGCCGCACATCCCCACCCAGTGCTGAAACCTCTCCACATTGGAGGTATGTAAATGTGTCGAAATGGACATAGTGCGAGTGGTTAGTGTTATAGCACTAATTCGGAAAACTACGAGATCTAGTGCTAAAATGGCACTAGATCTAGTGCTAAAACGGCACTAAATCTAGTGCTAAAATGTACATAGTGCGAGTGGCATTGATATCGCGTTGTCAACGACGTCGAGACATCCCGTAATTGTATGAAAATAAATTAATATTTACGTAAAATTGTGCTGCAGTGGGAAAATTGAAAATGTCATTGTCCATGTTTGTGTAATAAACCTTTGAAACAACGCGAACGGCCGGGAAACTACCCCTGGTAGCTCCATGGACAGTGAAACTGCAGGTCGAACTTCGCCATTTTTACAAATTGTGAATAGATGCACTGTATGAAATGGTATTGTGTGGAAGTTTGTGTTTTCAACTTTGGCGTATGTAAACTTGTATGTAAATGGTGGAATTCAGCATTGATTTTTTTAAATCGCTGACGTGTCGTTTTATTTCTGTTCGTCGCCACACTTTGTATACTCCTCGTCTAAGTCCCGGGTCCCTGTAAGGCTCGAAGGATTTTTTGTGTACGACAACTTGTGAATGGGCATGTCGCCGGGAACTTTACTGAAAGTGAACCGTTGTCTGGTTGTCATGACATTGACCCTTGCGGACATAATCAACCAATGGTAAAACTAAAAGTAGATTCACGCAATCCTCTTGTTACATTGTATCATGAAGGTACTAACAGAATATGATATAACCTCGCCGATTTTTTAACATGACCATATAATATATGTCTAGACAGTTTCTCTGCAATAATATTTTTTAGGAGTCCTTAGGATTTTTTGTTGTAGACTCTCAAAAACTTGTTCTTGTTACAGTTGCTAATAATTAAAAATTAATAATGTGAAATCTGTGAAGTAACAAGTTCATCTGTTGAACACCCTTCACAGCTAAACAAACCCAGTGAGCATGTGTGATGACCCTAGTTTCCTAATGCGCATATATTTTATGGTTGCGTTAAAAAATGGGACCAAGAAATCGCCCAGAGCGATTTTTTGGCAGTTTTTAATTTTTTTTTTTTAAATATTTTGTCATAATTTATCGGACATTTCAATCTTTCCTGACGCCTAAATCAGTCTATTTTAAGTTTGTATTCAAGAGCGTGTTTATTGTGACTAGCATGAATGGGTAAGCTTCGTTTGGACAAAGAACTGTTATCACTGTAAACAATGTTAAATTATTTTTCTAATGAAAACAACTGTATTTAAAAAAAAAAATTTCCCATCAAAATCCAAGTCAAAGGAGCGTACTACAACATTCCGCGTTATGTTCAATAACATTAACATATTTAAATGAGCTATGGTGATTTGAACACGTTGGCATCATCCAGCATTTTGATTGGTTAATTAGCGACCTATTACCTCAACTTATGCAAGAGAAACATGGCGGATACCCTACCGCATCGAGCTTTTATATGCGATCGGAATCATTTGCTTACGATGAAACTAAGTTGAATTTTATTTGAATTTCATAACAATTCAACGAATTTATTTTTTGTGCATTATTATCACTACTGAGTAATAATCAACAATTGTGAAACGCAGCATGTCTGGATTGCGCATCTGTGATCGCTTGCTGCTACGCAATGCAGTTGTGTTCATTTTATTAGAAACATCCTTTAAAATATACTTTCGTTACCAATAAAATAAAAACAAATATATTTGAAAAATGACACTGGTGACACTGTAATGAAATTTCAGGCGGGCTACTTTTTAATTCAGCAAGAATTATTAATTATTGTTGTTAATTTCATACGTCTAGAGTTGTCCAACTGATGGCTTAGAAAGACTGTGTAGTTGGATACAATGAAAATGGAAGTCCCCAAAAAATATTTGATAATTATTTTTTGAAATTTTGAACCCCAAATAAGTGCCCAACAGCCGTGAAATCCCCAGGGCGATTTTTCGGATGGGCGAATTTACGACAGAATCCGGTATTATATAAAGAAAGTACATGTATTATTATGGACATCTCGCGCGTATTGCCGATGTTTTATACTGTTTGTAGTTTGCATATGAAAGTGGTTGTTGATGCCCCTCCTATTATTCGACGTCGTTGACAATGCGATAACAATGCCACTCGCACATTTTAGCACTAGATCTAAGGCCATTTTAGCACTAGATCTAGTATTTTTTCGGATTAGTACTACTAGCACTAACCACTCGCACTATGCTCATTTCGACACATTTACATACATGCACATTGTGCTATGCTATGATCTGCCTGTCCTTACATATACAGGGCAAGCCATGTGTAGTTTAACTATGTTTTTAATTCCAGGACTTCCACCAGATTCTCTGACTGTTGATCATCAATCTGTATATTGGACTAATGACATACAAGGACTTTTGAATAGTGTGGACAAAGATAGTGGTGACAATTTCCAATCCCATGATGCAACAGGAATTTCTGTGGTTCTGGCATATGGCAGTAATCTACAACCAATGCCAGGTATATTACCGGTACTATTATTAGTTAATTTACAGCAAGAATAAAGGGCTACTAGCATAGTCAATGTCCATCTGTCTGTGGGTAAATAGCATTAGCAGTTATCAATCAAACTAAACATGTTATTGAAGAAATGTGTTTGATCCAGTTGTAATTTTGTTAGTCTCTGTTGGACAAAGTCTGAAACATAGACTTATGTGTTGGATTCACTCTGTGCATTTGTTTCCCTATCAGACATAATTTTTCAGACATACCTGGACTGACTACAAAGTAAAAAAATATTAAAAATGAGTTGTATGTCTACTTCAGTTATTTTGGATTTCAATGAAATTTAACTGACTTGCAAAAATGTGAACGGGTCATCAATCGTTTCTCAGCCATCGCTAGACCGATATTATTGAAACTTAGTAGGAACATCATAGATAATAGATTACTGATGTGCATCTATTTGTTTGGCCATCTGATTCCAAATGGGTGACTGGTGGCCATTTTTTTAGTCCGCGTTCGGACGCAGTCCGAAAACGAGGACTTATGTTTTGACCTCCGTGTGTCTGTGCATGCGTGCGTGTGTGCACGCGTGTGTCTGTGCGTGTGTGCGTCCAGACCTGTATTTTACAAATGCCTGGACCAATCAAAATCAAACTTCACACATACATCATACATGATATTATACATATGCACGTCAATTTGTTTCACGATCTGATTCAAGATGGCCGAATAGTGGCCATTTTTGTGCTAAAAATCATAAATATCAAGCATTTCTCGGCTGTTTACAGATGGATTTTGTTCAAACTTGGTATATACGTTAATTTGTTTTACAATCTGATTCAAGATGGCCGACTGGCGGCCATTTTGTTTTAATTAATGTGGTTCTTGTGCCATATGTCTGACTTGCTTCCACTGATTATGTTCAAATTTTAAATATTCATTATACATCATGTCATAGATAGACAGATATATTGGTTTGACGATCCTATTCAAAACAGTCGAATGGTGGCCATTTTTGTGCTAAAAAATCATCAAATTATCAAGCATTTCTGGCATTTCTGGATGGATTTCGTTCAAACTTGGTACATACATTAGACATTATGGGTTCCTGAAGCACATCATTTTATTTGTCAGATCAGATTCAAAATTGCTGTCTGGCGGCCATTTTGTTTTTGTAAATGGGCTTCTAGACCCATATCTCTGACCTGCTTTGACCTATTATGTTCAAATTTTAAATATTCATTATACATCATGTCATAGATAGACAGATATATTGGTTTGACGATCCTATTCAAAACAGTCGAATGGTGGCCATTTTTGTGCTAAAAAATCATCAAATTATCAAGCATTTCTGGCATTTCTGGATGGATTTCGTTCAAACTTGGTACATACATTAGACATTACAGGTTCCTGATGCATGTCTTTTTATTTTTCAGATTGGATTCAAAATTGCTGACTGGCGGCCATTTTGTTTTAATGCTTCTAGAGCCATATCTCTTAAATGCTTTGGCTGATTATATTCAAATTTTATACATTCGTTATACATCATGTTATATATATATACATGTATTAAAAATGGCTGATTTTGAATGCTGTTCCAGAGCAATATCTCTCAATATGGACAAGTACTTGTTTGACAATCAGATACAAATGTCAATCATTTTAATGTTAAAAAATCATATTCCTGACATGGTTATATTCCAGCTATATTACTGTAAACAAAACTATATATCTTAAATTTGATAACTAACGGGGACTGTGCCATGCATGGCTTGTTTTTTTAAAAGTTGTCTATCTATTCCTGTGATGCACTTTTACAGATTTTGTTTAAAGTGCCT